CCCCTTGCTCTCCAAAAGTGACTAAGAAACTTCTTCTTTTCTACTGAAGGATGCAAGCTTCCCATGGCCAGCCCATGTGAGCGGTGAGCACTCAGCTTGGCTGTCAACAAGCATTCTGACCCATCAAGGACCAGAGAACTCCATGGAATTTCACATCCTGTCTCCTATTTGATCTCTACACCCAAATCCCCAAGACATTTCTGTACAACGAGGTGCTCAGCAGCTGGCGTACAACTGCTCACTCACACCTGGAGGACTCGCCCGTGCCTGCTGCCCAACCTCACCTACGCCCAGCAGAGAGGGCAGCAGAGGGGCTGGGTGGGAGCTCTTACAACCCACAGCACTCAGCTCTGCAAGTATCTCCAGGGGCTGGGCTGCTTCCTGCTGCTTGACCTGTCCTCTCTCCAGGGGTTGGCAACTTCTCCCTCCACAAGGACACACCATCTATATCCATACGCAGTGAATCACCTTCTGGCAATCCCTTGATGCCGTTGCTGTTCGGCAGAGCACTTGTGTTGGACGTATCTCGTCAGTATAACAGCAGCAGGGCCTAACAAATCCATTCCATATAGATTTTACACAAACATGTAAAAGGCCTAATCCCTGCCCTGAGGATCAAGCAAATTTAACAGTGTTCACTATTTCCATTGTGACAGTGTCGCCACATGTCATCTGTTGCTGCTAAAGTTGTCACTAACATGTCTGCAAAGAGAAGAGAACAAAGCAGGGAAAATGGCAAATGTCCCTCTAGCTTTTTCAGCGCTTACAGAAAATAAGAATACAAAGCAAGTGCGGCGGAGAAGCCACTATTCCTTTCATTCCTGAGTGGGCTTCTCGTGCACAGTAACACCATGCTACAGGAGTATCTGGTGCTTCTCCAAATCAAGAAGTGAGAGTCTCACAATTCACAACTAAATCCCCCAACAGCTCTAAAAGTTTCTCATTTAGCACGAAATTAAAGTGCAATATGAAGCTCTGGGGTTGAGAGGTTTCTGTGTACTCATACATGCCTGCGAGCATCTTCCTTTCCAGGAGGCTCTCCCACTAGGCTGGGATGCAAAGGAGGGCTATGCCAGAACCTGAGCTGTATTTCGTTCTTATTTAAGCTCAAAACAACACTGTATTGAACTCTGTCACCTGTTTTAGCTTAAGCCTCCCACTCAGCGCTTCTTATTCAGGACTAGAAGACGTGTTAAGCACACAGCAAAACCTGCTTGCAGGAAAGAAACAGGGTAAGACAACAACATAAATGAAAAAGAATCTAAAAGTGCAAGGCAGAAGAGACTAAAGAACTGCCGAGAAACTAGAGAAACTTGGAAGAAAATCAGGGAGGAGAAAGATTACGAAAAAATATGATGGTAAAATCAGACTAAATTTTTAACACCCCTGCACAATATTCCATATTAAAAAGCCCCACTTTGATAAAACTAGTTTACAGTGAAAGCCCAATAACCTCTGAAATACGGCATTTATAGATGAAAGAGATTTATTGAGGCTCCTACTTGCAGTCTTAGTCAGGGTTTTTTTTTTTTTAATTTCCCCTTCAGCCTTTAAAATGACTAGTGCTGGTACACTAGCACCTCTTTCCTGCAGCTGCCTGCTGCAGGGTAATCCATCTCACTGCCAACCTACGTGCACTATCGCTCATCCTGAATGTCTTCTCCTCTACCCACTTTTACCCATTCCGACTCTGCCAAACAGTTCCTCTCGTTTCTTACAACCTCCATCCCAGGTCTTGCTCTGCCAAATGACGTGCCTTGAACCCGATTATCTCCTTGTCAGTAAATCCCTAAAGCCTTTTACCATTTTAAGAAGCTTTTTGCACCCGTTATGGAGGTGGCAGAAGTTGAACACAGCATGTAAGAGGTGTGGGTACTCTGGTGCTGCTGACATTTCTCTTTTCTACGACATGCTGTCTCTTGAGAAAACAGCTCAGTCAGGTAGATAAACTCTTTTAAGACTGTCCATCCATCTATCCCATTCTGCTCCAGCCCACGGATCTTTCACACAGAGAATCCTAATGCGGAGTCAGGAAGGTGTTAATGCTGCAGGAAAATCCATGTGCTGCCTCTAGACACACAGGGGGCAGATGGAAAGACCAGACAGGAGGTGCTGGCAGCCCTCAGATGCACAGAACACAACACTGCTGTTTAAGTGGTGGTAAATGGATGCCGCCTTATATACATGTGCCGATCGGGCTTTGAGACATGGACTTTGGAGAGCACTACAGCAATTTCAATGGCTTCTCTGCTGCTGCTGTGAGCCCTCCTGTTGTCAGCTCTCCCCACATGCTCCCGCTGGAGGTTCTGCCCCCATAACAGAAAGCAAATGAGCTTCAAAGAGGAGATCCTGAAAGAGGAGGAGTTGAGACAGTCAGCTGAAATCTGGAGCACAGAAGAAGTGAGAAGTTCTCTTTTGCCACCTGCTTTCATGGAGGAAGTAACCTCCTGAGGACAGCTGGGATGGGTGCAGCAGCAAAAAACACCTTCAAAATGTTTGTCGGAGGTCCTGTGTGCACATATATTAAGTAATTTTCCATCACTCAGTTATTTATTTACCTAATTGTGGAAGTCCTTTTCCTGAGGACGCTGAACCACTTGGAAATGTTTTTATTCTCAGACTTGGGAGAAAATTATTTTGACGCTTCTCACTTTTTCTAAACAGGACAGAGCTTCAAAAAAGGCTAACAGGATTTTTAATTACATCTTTTGTTAAAGAAATCATAGTGAAATGAGGAAAAGTACTTCAGAGTTGACTTTTTAGAAGAAAAGAATACAGGTGGAAAAGGACCTGTTTTGTAATCTTGCATCCACTATCTGGATTGAGAGCAGCCCTGAGGAAAAGGACTTGGGAGTGCTGGCGGATGAGAAGCTCAACATGAGCAGGCAATGTGCGCTGGCAGCCCAGAAAGGCAACCGTATCCTGGGCTGTATCAAAAGAAGTGTGACCAGCAGGTCGAGGGAGGTGATCCTGCCCCTCTACTCTGCTCTTGTGAGACCCCACCTGGAATACTGCATCCAGCTCTGGAGTCCTCATTACAATAAAGACATGGACCTGTTGGAGCAGGTCCAGAGGAGGGCCATGAAGATGATCCAAGGGCTGGAGCACCTCTGCTATGAAGACAGGCTGAGAGAGTTGGGGCTGTTCAGCCTGGAGAAGAGAAGGCTCCGGGGTGATTTTATAGCAGTCTTCCAGTACCTGAAGGGGGCCTACAGGAAAGCTGGAGAGGGACTTTTTACAAGGGCATGTAGTGACAGGACAAGGGGCAATGGCTTTAAACTGAAAGAGGGGAGATTTAGATTAGATTTAAGGAAGAAATTTTTCACTCAGAGGGTGGTGAAGCACTGGAGCAGGTTGCCCAGAGAAGTTGTGGATGCCCCATCCCTGGAAGTGTTCAAGGCCAGGTTGGATGAGGCTTTGGGCAACCTGGTGTAGTGGAGGGTTTCCCTGCCCATGGCAGGGGGATTGGAACTAGACGATCTCTGAGGTCCCTTCCAACCCAAACCAATCTGTGATTCTATGATTATCGCGGAATTAAATTCTCACAGTAACTTCTGATGTGCAATAAACAGGTTGCAAGACTTGTTAAGGTATACTCAGCCGACTTAGAGCTGATATACAGTTATTTTTACATCAAGTGATTTTGCTCTTTCATGCTTTTTCTGCACAGCACATTAAAGGTTCACTGTTGCTAAATAAATTAATCCTCTTTAGAACAGAACAGTTTAATTTTGAAGACATTTTAATATTAAACATCAACCGTATATGGATCTTTGGGTATGTGTTTTTTCTCTGAAGTGCTACAAAATTTTCATCAACTTAGGACAAAAATAGACATCATGCCTTTCTTGCAGGCGAGAGGCTCAGACAGTGAGGCTATGCAGTCTGTCAAGCCACAGAGCAAGTCTGGCAGAGTGAGGAATCCTGCCCGCCAATGCCAGACACAATGCAGCAAATCTACAAGGTGACACCATCTACAGTGTGGTACTATAAATCGACTAATATTCTTGATAGATCCACATGCTATAGCTTTATGGTTTTATCTGCAAAATTTTTTATTCCCTAAGTGACACTGTCATTTTGGCATTAATTACTCGTTCAGCTTGTGCATGCTATTTCTAGTCCAACATTTCCAGGTTCGCTGTCGCTGACGAAAGCTCATAGGTATCAAGGATCACCTCTGCCACGTCATTCTACCAGGAGAAGCCCACCTGAAATTTTAAGGTCATACTGCAATAATGGTATGTCCACATTCAGTGTCTGACTCGGGGCTTTGGCTTTGCAAGCCTCCTGGCCTATTCTGTTGTCGCTGAATTCAGACAAAGGAGGGTCTTGGGTGGCACAAGTCTTGGCAGTAGCTATCAACTCAGTGGTTTAAAACTAAAACCTGTTTCAATTTCCTTCAAAATGAGCTGGAGGCTTTCATATGGGAAGTTAAAGCTCAGATTCTTGCTTGCTGTTTTCTGCCTCTCGGTTCAAAATTCTGCACAGCTTGCTGTCTGCTCCAATCTCACCCCAAACAGTTGGTGCTTTTCTGACCATGTCTCTTTGGAAGGTTTCAGGCCACACGGGCAACCACAGCATGGACACAGGGATGCACAAGCACAGGCTTAAGACAAAGGCTTACTCAAATATTTTTAAGATCCTTCATTGCCCCAGACAGTGGAATACATACATCAGCAAGACCAAAGCAAGGTTCATTTGACTCAAGTTGAAACCAATACAAACTGTGGACTTGAACAAGACTTAGTTTTAAACAGAAATGTAAAATACCTGTTTTAGTTGACAAAAACATGTGTCTCAAGTGTTTGCTAATACAAGGACTATCTGTAAACCAGACACTCACACGGCAAACTAGATATCAATTCACAAGGGGAAAAAAAGTTACACGAACCTTCTTCCAGTTCTCAGAACTAAGTTTTTCTGCTTACAGAGATCTTGTCTTAAATCCAAGCAACAGGTGAGGTGATTTAAGTTACTGTAAATTGGCCACAAATTTACTTGGTAGATTGGGAAGAGACAAGGGTTTTCATCTTGAAAATCCCATGTAAAATTCTTATATATTATTTGTTTCTCAAATCTATGAGTTTCAGATTAGCCATAAATCAAAAGTTGCTGGTGGCAGAAGAAAATCTTGTTCAAGACAACAAAAAGTAATAAAGTACCTGTATAGGGAAAATCCTTGTAGTGTACAGCACAATCCACAGAAGACCTGCCTCAAATGTTTATTTATAAGCTAAATAAAGAAATCTGTGTGTCTGAATTTCCAACAACAGTAAAACCAGATTTTTCCTCTCGTGGAGTATCTGCTCATTGGCTACTGTTAAATTGCCTATAAAATGAACTTTCACACTATGAGGTGATTGGTCTGGTGGAGTTCCAGAAGAAGTTTTTGTGGTTTTACACCCAACATAACATGGTTTATACTGTATTTATAAAATAAGGTAATTTGATTCTACTCTGCTAGATGCAACCACTCCAACTCTGAACATTAGGCTAGCCAAAAACATCGTTTCTTGGTTTGTAAATATATTTATAGAGCAGCATGTTGACTGTGTTGTACATGTGACACCAGTTGTGCCTGGCAGTCTCTTCTTACCTCCACAACCCCATGATGAATAGATGTGTACTGCTTCTTCTTCAGCATCACCAAAGTAATGACAATCACTGTTGCTATGACAACACCTCCCACCATTAGTCCAATGATGGCACCTTTATTTGAACCCACATCTTCAGCAAAGAACACCTACAAAAGAAAAATAAAGGAAGGTGGCTAGAAAAAAACTCACTGAATATTTAGTTACCCTATCCAGCTGCTACAGCAATATAAAGCCTATTGAAGCATCAGTAATTTAACAGTATTGCATGTCATCCTAATTATTCAAAACTGGATTGCTGTACCACAAAGCTCTCACAGTCGGAGAAGAGCTATTTGGAAATCTGTATTGCCTGTGATGTAGCAGTGCTGTCGCTAAGGGGAAGACTCATCTCCATGTTTCTGCTTCACACAGGTCTTAGTAGCTGTTTTTTTTCCTTGGGTAAGCAAGTCGAGCTAATTACAAAACGACGGATAAACTTGTAGAGGAGTAACCAAGGAGCATGCTGATTTCTTTATTTTTAGAAAGTGTTCATAAATCTACACCTGTGTGGCTTCTTTGGACTATGATGCATTTCTTCGATAAAAGAGTAGTAAAGACCTGTAGGACAAAAGTGAAACTTGCATGCAACCAGCTGGGAGAAAATTCTCACACCAAAGAGACAAGAGTCCAACAAAAACAAGCATGCTGATTTAAGTGACCGCCAAGGGATGCTTCAAGATTTTGCAGGGTAAAGGGAGAATGAGCTATATGTGGCTGATGACGATACTCATGTGAGACCTAGATGAGGTAACAGTTGTGTGAAAAGCAGAGAAGATCCACTTGTATTATATGTACTGGTAAGGCAAAAACGAGTGGACAGCAAGATGCTTTACTATGCATTTAATAAGACTGTCTTTTAGCAACAGGAGCAGATACGAAAAGTGGGTGATTGTTTTCACTGTCCTGTTTTGTATTCAAGGAATACACTGGATTATTTTACACCTATGCATATTTCACAAACCTTTTGTCTGCTTGTCAATAGTAGGCTTTCATTATTATTATTTTTAACTAAAATGGGCAAAAAGGATTAGAGAATAAATTACATTCACAGAATTGTAAGACTACCTCACTCTGAAAGACTAAATACTTTGACAAGTATTTAACAAAAATGCAGAGGGAAGCAGGAAACCAGCTGAGAATTATAATGAGCTGTATAACATTTGCACTCTTCGAGAAACACAATCTTCCTCAGAGAGGTATTAAAGCACGCAGTATAAATATTTATATTGTTCCTAGTCATAAGCAAGAAATGTGTTTAAACAAAGTTAAGAATTCACTAGAAAGTACGCACAATGGACAGTGTTGGCATAAGCTGATGTGAAGCAATAATTTCTTCTGTCAATTTTACCTGCCCAGGACTGAAATTCTCTCACTGTACTATTTCGGAGCACTGTGAAATGCCCCAGCTAATACACATGTGCAACAGAGGAAGGCCTTAAGCACTCTGAGTCATGAAAACCAACTTCATGTACAGTTAAAATGTGAACATTCATAAGGGAGAAAGTATCTGCCATTTCGGCTCAATGCAGAAGCTTGCAGGTAAAATACAACGTGTGGCTGAATTCAAAGCAATATCCTAAGGAGACCATTTCAGTAAATCCTACCAAGGCACAGGAGAAGGAAAACACACATGGAAGTATTTTCTGCTTACTGCTTTTGAATTAAAGCTAATGGAGAAGGGCATCAGGTAGGATATGGCATGCGGTAAACAAGCAATGCCCTGTAAGGCTTCAGTCCAGTAGTTCCTCAGAAATACTGGGCTCCTTGCTCAGTCTCAATTGAAAAGATAACCTAGAGGACAGCTTGCTAATTGTGAAATAATGGTTGTACCTATCAGCAAGAAGTACAGCATAAAATGCTTTAAAAAGCTGGAAAGGTCCCATTTTAAGCGCCACACAGATTACGGAAGTGCAGGGATTACAATGCATTCCCTATCAGCCACTGATGTAAGGGTAGTTTCCAGCACCAAACCACTTGGGATGGTATCAAACCACTTAAACATTAAAGGTTGCTGCTGGGAAGTGCATGTGACACAGGATCAATAACTACGGTGTTTAAAACACATTCCTGCAAGTTCTTTCCCGTCAGTAAACTGCACGGGCTTACTCCATCAGGATGTTTAACCCATCCGAGCTAAACACATCAGAATTTCCCAAATTAGCGCTAATGCATTTTGGATTAGCTCGTCAAACTGGGAATTCTCAGTTCTCAGCATCAAAGAGATGGCAGAGTATCTTTTCACACAGTGATTGCCTAGTTCAAATGCAAATTTGAGTCCCATGTTAATTTTAATTTTCAGCACTACTTAGCTTTAAGAATATATTAAGGAAAAAAGCTTTCAAGTTTAATATCAGGATATTGAAAGTCACGGAACTGAAATCTCATCATGTAATACACCTTCACAAAAGAGGAAGCAGAAAAGGTTTATAGCCAACACTGCTGTATGGGTTCTTCATTACTTATTAAAGGACTGAAAAAAGCTTTTAGAAGGTGCTTGTTCTTACTTACATTGCTTTTGGTTGTTATGTTCGTGTTCGTAAGAAGCATAGTTGACAATATTTTGCTCCTACCTGCCCCTCACCTGTTAATAATTTAATATACCATAGGGAACAAAACACACAGATACAGCCAAGTACAAACTAAAATTAAGGTCAGTGGAGAATCTCCTCTTATCCCAAACAGGCAATCTTGCGAAAGGTTATGCTCCATGGAGTTCATCCTCCTTCATGTACCACCACCATCTGTTTTGACAGAAAAGGAATCTATTCCTGAAACGGTGTCACTCTATTTCTTGCTGCACCATGCTGTGCGTCTCCATCAATTTTTTTTTTTCCTTTTTTAAACTTAGCATTTTCCTTCCTCTATATCCCTTCTCTTTAGTTATGTGACCATGACAGATGGACTGTGGGACAAATATGGCCCATATGACCACATCCAGTCATGCGGCAGTGCAAGGGCAGGAACTGTCAGAATTCCCTTTCATATGAGACTTAACAGCTTTCCATCCTCTCTGCTGAAATTATTCAGGGCTTACTCTCATTTAAGAGAGAACCAGAAAAATCATAATCTGTTCACGTGAAAACTTTTCATTGGCACTTTCAGCATCCACATTACCCAGGGCAAACATGGCCATAAGTGACCCACTAGTTCCAAGATGGAATCACCAACTCAAAACGCATGCGTGGAAAGCACTAAAGCACTGTTTGTTCACTCACCAGCTTTTGATGATGAACTTCATATCCTGAGTCATGCCGGAACTCCGCATCCATCTTCACTTCGGATATCTCTTCTGTTTTAACATTGGTCAGCCCGGAACCTGCATTGCACCGCAACGACAATTCGTTAAAGTCACCAACTCGGTTGCGCTCTGCTTACCTCCACCGTTACAAGAGCAGAAGGCAACGGTATGATTCAGGCGGAGGAGGTGTGACACAACGTGAAAGGGAACTGGGAGGCAAGTGAGGTACATCTGATGTTTCAGTCCCACTGAGGTGACACAGAATGAGCTGGTAAGATTTCTCCTCTGCTAAATGCTCCTTAATCCACTGCAGCTATGTTGGTACAAGCATCGAAGGCTTTCA